AACTCTTAGCCCTTCAGTGGTTCAGCGGGAGAAAGACCTGGCAGTCTTGGAAACCCTATGGGATTCCACTGTTTTACAGGGTCACTATGAGAGGCAACGGGTGTGACTTTGGTAGGGGCTCTTCCAGTGCTCCTGTTGAGAGACTCTAGACACTGTTCCATATTTATCCCCCCAAGCCGCTACTCATCGATTCATTCAATAAATATTCGCTGGGCACCTACTCAAGTTCTCTGAACTGTGCCCTAACGGGGCCTCAGTCTCCCCATCTTACCATGGCGTAATGCAGTCTGATCTTCAATGGGGAGCACTTGGAGAGGGACCTCCCTGGGCCCAGTGCTCTCCCAATGTGAGCCACTGCATCCAGTTGACTCATATCTAGAGTCCTGTAGGCTGTAGCTCTTTATGGGAGCAGATAGCCTCATCGTTCTCTCTTGAGAAAGTTGGTGGGTTTGAACCACCCACCTTGCAGTTAGCAGTTCAACACTTACTGGATAGGAAGGAAAAGACTAGTCGGTGTTATGCTGCTCCAACCAGTCCCTGATTGTCTTCTCATCCCAATCCACCACAGACTAAGGGGCTTGAACGGTAGTTTAGGAATAGGAAGCCCAAGAGCATGCAGTGGGGGAGGGGTATAGCTGGGATTTGAACTGAGGACTCTGTGGCCTACAAAGCCTATGCTTTCCCTTGGGCTCACACCCCATTTAGACTCTGGGAGCAGGTGGTCTAAATTCCTAGTAACTGACCTTGTGGGGAGGGGAGGCAGCTGGAGAGGCTGGTTGAAGAGACCCAGAGGAGGGGGAGGTTGGCCACAGGAAAACATCTGCCTGCCCCCCTGGCCTGGGAGAGCGTCCAGGGCAAGGCAGTGTTGGCAGCATCCACTTCCATGTCCAGGTTGATGGTGTGGAGAACCATGGTCAACACTGAGCCTACAGCAAGCGAGGCTGGAGGGGGCAAATGGACAATGAGACCTGGGTCCTGGATGTGGAGTGGTCTCAGTGCTGCACTCCTACTCCCAGCTCTTCCCGTGCCAATGCCTTTGTGTCCACGTGGTCAGAGTCCTCTCGTCCAGACCACACTCTCGTCTTCCCCCTCCTGGCATGTGTCACCCTTTGAACCCATCTTATTTGTTTATCCAACTCCCTAGCTCCATGAAGGCAGGGACTTGGTCAGTGTTTTATCATTGAGAAATAGGTGAGTGAATGAATGAATGAACGCACGCCTGATTTCTAAGACTCTTGGGTGGGGGTTGGGGTGGAAGTGGGTGGCCGGTGTCCAGGTGTCCAGGAGGCTGGCCGCAGGGCTGAGGGTTAAAATAGGAGGTTCAAGATGGGGAGGTGGCGCGGGGAGCTGGTGGAGGATGCAGAGGGGCGGCCGTGTGAGCAGCTGCTGGTGCAGACTATGTAAGGGTGTGCAGATGGTGTTGTGCGTGGGCTGGCAGGGCCCGGGGGCAGGCCGTGAGCCGCCCAGCCCATCTCCTGCCTTGGACACTTCAACACCCCCGCCCACTGGCCACTCTTTCCATTTGTGTTCTACAACTTTCCTCTTTCCCTGACAGATTCCGCTACTAAATTTGACTTCGCTTCCACACTTTTGTTGGGCAAATTACATTAAGATGGATGTTGCAGGTCCTCTTTATGGTTTATTTATCGTGGTACAGTTTGTATCTCACGCTTATAAATAACTTATGTTATAGCTTTTGTTTGTGGAAATGTAACTTACATATTTTATTACGCTTTCTGTAAACCTCAGAAAGAATCTTGTCAAGGAAGCGCTCTTATCAGCAATCCAAACTACGGGACGTAAAAACTGACACTAACATCATTTTTTAATATGCCGGGGAGGCAGGTTACTCTTGCTGTAGTTTGAAAGGTTTGCTGTCATCGTAAACTTGCACCTCAATAAAACATTAAAAAGTCTCTGGAATGATTTTTATAAAGTTTGGGGAGGTCGACTCGGTGGTGCAGCCCCCAGACATATAGCGCGAGGAGCTGGCGCCGGGGCCAACCTTGCTCTGCCTACCCTGCCCGTCTGGGGCTCCCACCGGTCCCCACCCTGGACTGTGCCGAAGGCCTGTGTGTGTGTGTGTGTGTGTGTGTGTGTGTGCAGTCCTGGCTTAAGGGATTGTAAAACCCGTTACCCACTGCCGCCCAGTGGACTCATTCAGTGACCCTATAGGGCAGAGAGGATGAAAATCTTCATGGAAGCGGGCAGCCACACCTTTCCTCTGAGGGGCGGTGGATGTGTTTTGAACCACCAACCTAAATGCCTAACCAGGGCTCCGTCCAGGGATTATCATGGGGGAAATGAGTGTTATAGTCAGGCAGAACCGACTTTGAATCTTGGCTTGTCTACTTTCTGCCTGCGCGGCTTTGGGTCAGCTGAAGCTCCTGACTTGAGGGAGAGCCCTGCGCCGTATGATAGTGACCTGTGTGTCAATTAGGGTCCAGTCCGGAGGGAGAGGAGGTGTGCTCTCTCACCACTGCTGGGGCACATACCAGCCCAGTGGCCGGCTGGTCCTGCCTGAGGAATGCCAGGACCTTGTATTTGTTCCTGGTGCTGGCTCTTACCTGGCCTCCAGGGACTTGGGTGTGCCCTTCAATGCTTACTTAGCATGTTCCTCCAGAGGTCCCACAGGGGGTTCCAGCACCTCTCTCCAATTCCTACAGCCTGTGCCTCATCAAGGCCCCCCCACCCTGCGTCCCATGCATTGTGGAGTGTGTATGCCATGTATCGTGCTTCCCCAACGGTCCAGCTTCCCCGCTCCCTCTGGAATGGGCCTGGAGTAGAAGTTGGCCTTCCAGGAGGAGTAGGATGTCCTTCCAGGTTCCTGGGGATAAAGCCACCCTCAATTTCCCCAGGTGAGAGCATCGACAGGCGAGAGCTCCTGCTTCCCACGTCCACGCACTTATAAAACCCCTTCCTGTAAGCAGCTTGGCCCGCACGGCTTCTTTCTAATGAATACAATGCGGCAAAGGCGAGGTGGGCCAAGTCCAAGGCTAGGCTTTGAAAGCCGGTGACTTCGATGCTGTGCTCTCTGCCTCCTCTCCTTAGCTCCTTCTGATAAAGCCTGTGAAGACGCCCACGTACATGGAGCTAAGAGGGAAGCGAGGCTCTCGGACCAACAATCTGGGGAACCGACTGAGACCTGATTTCCTCCAGTGGGCTTGGGAGCAGGGTCATCCCACTCAGAGGCAGTGGCAGCCAACGCAGCTGGACGACAGCCTGACGCGGCTTCCTGCCCGACACGAACCACCAGACCCCAAGCACTGTTTTCCGCCATGGAATTTGGGGGCAATTTGTTCTGCAGCAATAAGTGACTTATACAAGAGTCCTGAAAAACAGGAATGGGCCTAACGATGACAGGCATCAACCCATCTTTGTGAGACACAGAGATCCCTTTGAGGGGAGAGGCATCTGGGTTCAAATCATGCCCTGGTACAGTTTTCTAGGCCTGAGAAGAGTGGGGGAGATCATGCACCCGACCCCAACCCCAACAGCAGCCCTCCCAGACTAAGGCCTGAGGCCTGCCCTGCCTGGTGAGACCTCTGGCACAGCGTTGTGTACTTGGTCATTTTTTTTCTGTTTTTTATGCAAAACGATGTGAAGCGTCCACATGGGGAGAGCAGGTGGTAAGTCCAAGTTCTCAGTGCAACCTGTCTGAGCAGTGGGTGTTTTTCAGAGGTCTCTAGTTTGCCTTCTCCAGGGAAGTGAACAGCCCGCCTTGCTGATGAAATTCAGCACAGCCGCTGCCTCGCTTCTCCATCACGCACCAGGAAGAACCCCAGCCACGGCCCACGCTCCCCAGATGCTTTGTGTTCTACACAGGGAAGATGCACATTTCGCAATGAACTTGGATGACTTTGCTTTGTGCCACACAAGTCTGTTGCAAAGGCCGCAGAGCCCTGCTGGCACGGTGTGTCAGAGTTTAGCTGCCAGCCGTAAACAAGAGTGGTTTGAAAGCCCACGCTCTGCCCTGTGGGAGAACGACGACGAGGCAGTCTGCTTCCATCGAGAGCCGCAGCCTGGGATGCCCCAGGGGGCAGGTCTACCCTGTCCTGAAGGGCGCTGGGAGTTGGGATCAGGGTTGGGTGGTGGGATTGGCTTGGTTTGGCTTGGCAACTTCAGTGATCACAAAAGGTTTCCAAAAACACTGATCGGAGAAAGGAGATAATAATAGGCACCGTGGACTTACTTCTCATTCAACAGTAAAGCCAACCCTTTCAGGTCCTATCAGAAAGAAAAGGGCATGGGATCTGTTAGAAGCCTTGGCTGGCCGGGCAGAGTAGGGAGATACAAAACCATTTGGTGGTGGCAGACTCTAATTAACAGCCTCATCACCGCAGCTCACAGGCAGTCAGGGCTGTCTCTGTGCCTTGGGTTTGGTCAGGTCGCTGACTTGTGTGTCCATCTGGGCACAATTACAACAGCCACCAGTGTTGTCGTGGGGCTGGGAACCAGGTGTTCCCCAAACTTGTTTGCTCCCATCACTGTGAGGCTGTGGTTCACCACCCAGGCCTATCTTGGGTGGCTCCAGAAGACAGAGCCGTGTCCAACACTACTTTAGTCAGACACCTTTGGCTTCTCCTAATACCCCATGGGGCAGATGGCCCGGGCGCCTAAAGCCTCTGACCAGAGCTACGTGCGTGGCTCCTTCCGAGGACCTCTCTTTGCAGGCAGTGGTTGCCCAGCTTAATTCTTCTAGACGGAACCACTTTCAGATTTATGCTTGGGAAAGAAAATGCTGTTTGTAAGTCATTTAATTGTGTTACTGTCGCTCAACTTCATCAGATGCTGCGGAGGCAGTGAGTTCCGCGTGCGGTCCTGCGGGACCCAGTGCAGTGCGCCCAGGCTCGCTTCCAATGCCCACTGTACAGGCTCCTGGATGCTGCTGCTTCCGGACTTAAAACAAACTACAAGTTTAACAGGTCCAAGTGGCATTTGTCTCAATCCAGGGTCTGCGCTGAAGGCCAAGTTGCCAACACACTCCCAGCCAACACATATTTCGATGCAAACCTGGTTTATTATGTTCTCTGGGTAAATATTATTTACACATCCCTTCAGAGCAGTACGAGAACATGGATAATGACATCAGTTAGAAAGACGGAAAACACGTCGTTTCCTTTTTCAGAGCAATGCCGGAAGGACTTTACATCGTTTGCACTATTATAAACTTTCGTACTTAGGCCAGACTTATAAAAAGGTAGGGCTCTTTGCTGCTATTGTTGGCTTGGAAAAGTAGATACCCCTGGGCTAGCCAACACCACGTTGGTCCTGGGACCCCGGCCCCCATGTCCTGTCCGGGGGAAGCCGCGTGGCCTGTGCGCAGAGCAGCAGGGTCAGCTCATCATGTCCAGGCTTCCCGGTGGCTCGGAGCTGCCCGGTGGCTCGGAGCTGCCGTCACAGCGCAGGGCCTCTGTCACATCTCTCCTGAAGACCGACATGTTCTGGGTGAACCTGTGGAGAGAGGACAAGGTGGATGGGCTGGCTGAACCGTCCAGCAATCTATTGGGAAGGAAGGCCATGCCATTCAGCACCTTGGAGAGGGCCCGCCCTGAGTCTGACTGGGAAGCTCCCTTCTCTCTGGTTCCTCAGCTAGGGGTGCTGGGACGCCCAGCACCAGCTCCCTTACTGCCCCCATTCCTGGCAAACAAAGCCAGCCACCACCTTTTCTCTGGTCATTGCGAGGGGGTGTGTCTCACTCCTTCCTGAAGGTCCCAGTAGATGAAGGGTGAGGAAGACCAGAAGGGAGCCCAAGCTGTATGTGGCCGGCACTGAACCGATGCTACGTTTGACACCAGACTCACTGTACCATCGCGCTCGTCCCAAAGTCATGTAGGACCCCCATTGCACAGAGGAGAAAAGGGGTTCACCAAGGGTGGTCACCAAGACTGACCTGCTGGGTTCAAATCTGGGCTCCCCCACAGAACTGGGGTGGTCTTGGTGCCCACCAGGAAGAAGCATTTTCACCGCGGGCCATGGGAAAGTGAGGCCCCTGCGAACCCACTGAGGCTGGCCCCTGAGTACTGGTACGGCTCGATGGCGGACACTTCGGTTGGTGCCAGGGCCCAGTGAGGCAATGCCCCTCCCCTGTCTCCTGCAGGCCCTTGTGAGAAACAAGAACCGGGCACCTGTGCTGGGCCCTTGGGACCCAGGACCAGCCCTGGCTGGGGATGCTGCGCCCCCCTGTGGCTCTGGACAGGACCTGTGAGGTGCGGGCCGGCCGCTGCAATGACCACCACGTTCATGAAGGACTGGAGCAGAGGGCTTCCTTCCTGGGTGTGGCGTCTCTCCCCACCCGTCATTGTCCCTGGAGTATAGGCTCCACCAGGGCAGGAGCCCAGAGCCCTGAGTTCACCACTAGTATTCCCAGTGTGGAACACACGCAATTTGTAAGAAACCCCACCTTGCCCCCCCATGCCCCGCAGTTGTGAATCAGGTGAAGGCTGACAGAGACTGGTTTCACAGTCAACAACACACACATCGGATTCACTTCTTGCTCTGCAATCCCCAGTGCTCCATCGCTTATTCCATGCCTCTATCTCCAGTTTCCATTCCTCCTCTGTCCCAGGCCTCTGGACTCGGTCCTGGGTCAGTCTTAAACAGTGGGTTGTTCTAGTGCGGAGGAGCCCTGGTGGCGTAGTGGCTGCGCACTGGGCTGTGAGGGCTTTGTGCTCTCATACAGAGTGACCGTCTGGGAACTCACCGGGCAGCCCTACCCTGTCCTATAGGTCATGGTGAGTCGGCAACGACTCGTTGGTGGGAGGTTTGGTTTTATTCTAATGCAGAGGTGACCTGAAGGGTAAGGCCCAGTCTTGGGCCCACCAGTCTGTCTGACCTGGCCACGTCCAGGAAGCTTCTGTAAAGTGAACGAAGCAGGACAAGGAAAGAATGAACCCAGTTCTGAGAGCTGATGCGTTCGGGCTACTCTCATTTAGATCCTACTCACAACTGCAACTAACATAAGGGAAGATAATGGGATTCGTCCACAGGCCTTTTGAAGCGCCCCACCCCCCACCCTTATGTACAGTGGGGCCTATGTCCTAGGCTCCACATGCTCCTATTCTGGGATGGAAGCCTCAGGAGCAAGCTCCAGCTCCATTTCCCCGGTGACAAAACTGAGGGTCAAGTCCGTGAACTGCCTTGCCACACCCCACCTCTCAGGGGCCTCGGGAACAGTTACATGGAACTCCGTCTGACCTCACAGCCGGCCTTTGATCACAGGCCAGGAAACCCTTCCTGCCTGCTGCGGCCGTCTGAGCTTTTCTTCTCTTGACCTTTTCAAGAGCAGTTATTTTTCATACCTCTCCCGACAGATGACACAGTGCTCAAGGGCAAAGGCTATGTCGTCTGAGTCTCCATGTCCCTGTATGTATGGTGGCTGGTCACTGCGGGGGACAAAGCAAATGCCAAATGGGACTGGGCTGTGGCCCAGACGCGCTGGGAGGTGGAAAAGCCACCTTTGGGTGTGAGTGGTGGCAGCATCACCCGGTTATCTCCTGAAAACTTGGAATGTCCACCTCTCCTTGGCAGAGGCCTAGCAAGTTCATGAGCACAGGGGGGCCTCCTGCGAGTTTGCACCCTCCACACCTCCCTGCAGCCACCCGCTCGGACATGTGCCCAAGGCAGCACCTCTGGCAGTGCTCACCTGTCTCTGTTCTTGACGGCCAGGCTCTGCTCCACGCCCTCCATCAAGTTCTGGAAGCACTGGGCAAGCACTTCCTGCTTGGGGAGGGGCTGGCTGCTTATCAGACTGGCCCGCAGCTCCCCGAAATGCTGTGGGGAGAGAGGAGGAGTGTCAGACCTCTGAGCCCCATCTGCCTAACCCTGGATGGTCTCGGTGCGAGGATCCAGTGGAGGGTGGATGAACCAACTCGTTCCTACTTGCGACCCACTAATCCCAGGCCCACCTTTGACAGACGGACGTCAAGCTCTCAGAGAAAGCCAGCACCAAAGCCAAAGGCAGAGTCCTAGGTGCGAGGGGGAGCTGTTCTGCACCCCCACCCCCACCCCCCCGCGAAAATCTCTCGCTGTGGCTGCTCCACACTCAGGGCCTTGGCTGGGCTGGTGAGTCCTTGCCTTCCATGTGAGGGCTGGCCTCTCTTGTCCACTCACGGTCACCGGAAATGCCCAGGGTGCAGTTTGGGCAACTAGAGTTTCCCCCAAGGCCTCATTCTCTTCAAACAATCCCATGCTGGGTCCCAAGACACTGTCTTTATAGGTCAGTTGGGATGGGATGGGTGTGCTCTGCTGAGCTGGGGGCTAGCAGGGGCTTGGCTAGCTAGTTCAGGAAACTCCTTCTGGCACTGAGAAAATGATGTCACACTTGGTCACAAATAACTGCACAGCCACTTTCTTCTGGGCTGCGCCGGTAAGATTTTGTACAAATACAAGCTCTCACACGAAACACAGCTCCTAATCATGGGAAACAGCTTAATTTTAGCACAAAGACAACATTTTGCCAGTCATGTTTATTCTTCTATGCCCAAACTGCATGGTATTTAATTTCCATCACACCCTAAAACAGCTCCCATCAAAAACACAGATAATTAATATGCAGTCAGACTAATACTTAACGACGATGCATCAGAGGCATTACACTTCAACCACCGTGAGTTCCAGAACAAGACTGGGAATGCAGAAAATGACTTATTTTTCCTTGATAATGATGCAGTGACTCACACCAAATAGAAAATTATTAGTTTTTCATCCCAAACCATGAAATATTGCCTCCATCAGTAAAGTATAATATCGTGATGTCATAAGCTTTTTCTAAACACTGAATTTGCCCTTATTCCCTCTCCATCATTTTAAAAGAACTGCTCTCTTTTATAGAGCTTGGATTTAAATCACAGTAACACCGAGGGAAGATGAATGGCAGTGCTATTGAATGTGGCTAAAATTGGATACTTCAGCACAGGTGAGTGATGAGACAGCGCTTCTCTTTTTGATATATTTTCTTCTTCTATTAGTTTCCTTCCAAGGCTGGGGCTTCAGTTTGAATTTTAATGTATGCGGCTGCCTCTAATCTCACTGTCTTTCTCCCCAGTACTATCTTATTGTATAGACAATTCATTCTCCAAAGCAGTAATCCACTGTTCCTACTGCCTGCTGGGGAGCCCCGGAGGCCTAGGAGCTGCCCAGGGGGGCAAGTACACTTCAGAAGCTGGCGATAGTGCTTCCTGGATGGCATGTCCTGCCGATGAGTCCCCGAGGGGGGCTGGGGTGGAATTCTGTTCTTCAGAATTCTCTAGAACCAGGACAGGCTCAAAGCACCACTGAGCACACCCACCCCCTAGAAGCAGCTCTGTGTCCTCTGCCCTGTATCCTCACAGCTCACAGAGCAGCCAACACACAGCACCCCCACTCTCCTCCCCTGAGCTTCCTACCAGAGTACTCACCTTCTCGTTCAGCAAGATAAGCCCCAGGAGGGGCCTGGACACTGACCACTGGTTCCGACAGTCTTCAAAGATGATGGTGTTCATGAGGACGGACATCATCTAGGAGAGAGAGCCGCGTGGAGATGCGCAGCCTTTGGCCTGGGGCTCTTGTAGTGGCAGGCCTCCTGTGACCTCAGCTCCCACCTCTACAGTTTGCAGGCCGTTGCCAGCCAGGCTCTCCCCGACAAAGAGCCCAGGATGCTGCCTGCAGGGACCTCTGGCAAAGACCCCTGGCTCTCTAAGGAGTCCCTGTCACCTCCAAAGCTTTGGTGAGAACCTTCAGGTGGGAGGAGGGCGAAGTCAGAGGCCCGAGGGCCACGGGAATGAGTCCTGGCCTCACAGCCCTGGTGGGCTTCCTCCCTGCTCAGCCACCAGGATGGGCCTCAACTCGCCTGCCTGTCTGCTGCTTCCCATTTCCCCATAAGGTGGTCAACAGTTATGGAGAGGCCACATGCTATGCAACTTCAGAAGACCATGTTTCCTACTGGCTCAGGCTGCTGACAAAGACAGACCGACCCCTCCCTCCCTCCCACCCTCCCTCCCTTCTATATGCAGATGCTCATCCAGTTTCTTAACGTCACAACGTCAACAAGTGGCAGACACCTAGGAGAGGGCACAAGGCACAGATTGGCTCACAGCTCCATTGGCTGCCCAGGGTGGAGACTCAGCAGGCTGGGCACAGGGCTGTATCCGCACAGCTGGGGCAGGCGTGAGAGGCCAGGAAGATTCCGTTGAAGGCGCTCTAAACAGGGGCTGGGAGTGGGTTCGGCAGCAGGAAGAAACTCCGCGTGGCAGCAGACAAGAGGGGTGGGCTGGAAGCAGGCCGCAGGGCCGACCCAGAGGAACAGGCTGAGGAACCGGGCCTTCTTCTGAAGGCAGTGGGAGCCATGGCTGGTTTGTTGCAAGGGAGAGACCCCAAACTCCATTTAAGAAAGACCCCTCGGGGACGCGGCAAAGGTGTGCGCACAGGTGAGGTTGACGGAGGGAGCTTGGGAGCAGGCATCAGTCACGCGGAGCTCGGCAGAGGATACAGTTCTGCCTGTGAGCAATTCAGCTCCCACCGCTTCTGAGCCCTGCCCCAAGGGCGGTGGGGCCATGGCAGCTGTGGCTGCTGCTCCCGGCCCGGGCTCACTCTGCAGCACACTGGCTGTCGTCCTCTAGCCCTTTTGCAATCGCTTTACGCTGTGCTCCTCAGGCAGCCTGCACCCCTCTCTCAGAGCCTCAGTTTCACCTGCTGATAAGCCAGCAGAAGCAGGCTCTGAGACCCCAGTGAGACGGTGCACATAACAGGGCAGCGGTTCTCAACTTGGGGGTCAAATGACCCTTTTACAGGGGTCGCCTGATTCATAACAGTAGCATGAGGAAGGTTGAGAACCGCTAGAACAGGGGCTGCAGAGAGTAACAAGTGCTACACTTGTGTTAGGTAGATACTGCCAGTAGCAACAGGAAGCAGCAGCAGCCTTGCAGCTGTAAACACCGGCCCTCCCACTGGCTGTTACCACCACCACCACCACCACCATCATCATCATCATCAGGCCGAGTTCCATGTTTTGGGTCTGCCCGGTCTCTCTGGGGGAAGCTGGGTCACTGGCTGGCCGTGTTGAGTGTCATTTGCAGATCACACATTTCCACGCACAATCTAACAAGCCCTCCAAAGTCGGAGCGCCACAAATTAAACTGACAAGTGAAACTAACAGATCCACGGAGACAGTCTAAAATATTATGGGCTTCACAATCTGAAGGCAGAATGGATATTTTAATGGAAAAGATTAAAGTTAGAGGCACCAAACTCCTCCAGTAACTGACAAAGCATCCTGAAGTGATGTGCCAATTACTTTATATGGTCCTCCCGTGGATTCATTTGTCTGAATGCATGTATTTATGTCTGTAATAAGTAAGGGGATGTTTGAATAAAATACTTTTCTAAAAATAAAGTTGGCTAAAATGGATGATTTTTTCCTTCCTCTTTTTACTCTTTCGGAAAGACGGAAATGAGTGAGTGGATCTGCTTGAATGGCGTTAGCGTGGCAGGCCATTGCCAGAGTCCTTCCTTCCAGAGCTGCCTGTGGGCATGGGGACAGCCCACTTCTTGGGGCAGGATCCCAGCAGCAGGGCCCCACACTGAAGAGGAGCGAGTGAGAAGGTGAAGTAGGGATATCTGTCCCAGGCAGCATGGGGTCGGTCTCTGGAGGAAGGTTTGGTGGGCAGAGTGAGGAGGAAGGCGAGAGCCCTTCCCAGCCCTGCACCGCCTGCCACCCCAGCTGAGTCGCAGGCATCTTGTTGTTTAGTATAGGGGCACATTTTCTAGGATGCACCTTAGGCCACTAAGTGCAGAGTCAGTTGTTCAAACCTACCAGTCGTCACTCCCAGGGAGAAAGAGATTTACAATCTCAGTAACCCTATATGACACGGTATGCTGGCCTTAGAGCCAGCCAGTGGAGCTCACCTTGGGCTCTGCACTTATTTGACATGACGTCTCTCTCTATATGATGGGGGATAGCAGCACTACTGTGAGGGCTGCTGTAGGAACCGAGTGCCTGCTCTCGCACCACGCATGCGCTGCTCTACTGTGCCCATCACACTCAGCCACTACTTTTGTATTTTGGGAGGAAACGCAGTTTTATTTGGCATAGCAGTTGAAGAGGAAAGAGAGAGATAGATGGGAAACGGACTGATGCACCATCCAGGCTGTGTCTCACCGCTCGTAAATTCTGTTTGCCAGCCAGCCGTCTGGACGAAGGGACTCCCACTGTGGTGACCCTCCCCGGCCTGAGCCAGTGCCACTTCATGGCTCAAGAATGTGCCCCGTTTCAGGTCTTGATCAAACACCGAACTAAAACAGATAGATGTTCTGGCTTCAAACCACAGCTAAAACCTGAAAGGGGCAAATATTGAAATGCATGTGCTCCTCACTGTGGAAAGCCTTGTTCTCGGGTGCGGTGCCTGGGGTCTTGTCTAAGGCCCCAAGGGCTCTGCTGTCAGCAGCTTCCCGAGAGTCCTCGGGGGCTTTCTGGTCGGAGGCCAAAGGCCCAAGCCCAGTCTTTCTAGTGACAGTGCCCCCACGGGAAAGGAAGCAGTCCCAGGAAAGAGCGCTCAGTCTGGTCTGTGTTGGGTGCTTTATCCGCAATACCAGCGGCTGCCACCTTTGTGGAGGAGCCCTGGGAGTGTAGTGTAGTTCAGCAGTTCAAAACCACCAGCCACTCCTCGGAAGAAAGATGAGGCTTCCTACGTCCACAAAGGGTTAGTCTCAGAAACTCAGAGGCAGCTCTCCCCTGTCCTGCAGAGGCGCTAGGAGTTGAGTTGACGCATCATCGTGCCTCCGTGGCTGTGAGTTCTGAGGTTTCTGCACTCCCTCCGTGGCAGCCACTGCTATTGTGGGTGAAGCATCCACCAGAGACCGACCAGCTGGTAGCCTGCTCTACCTCAGCAGGAAAGCACCCCAGCACTCTCCTCCCCAGGGAGCCCTTCCTCTGAAGGGGGAGCCCTGGTACTGGAAAACATGGTGCTTGGGCCTCTGGGCTCTGTAGCCAGAAAGCCCCCGAGGGCTCTCCTGGGGGTCACTGTGTGCAGTGTCTCCAGTGCTCAGTGAGCTCTCGCAGTAGTGCCACCCTACCGAGGGACGTGGGCTCTGATGTCCTGAGAGGAAGCACATGGCGGAAGCTGCAGCTAATGTGGATGTGCATATCGGCCTGCTTCCACCGCCACCAGGCTGCTGCCACTGGCTGTTCTCACTGCGGGGTGAGTGCTCACAGGGGTGACAAACGCTCCCTTCTGGGCACAGCGGGTCCTCCCAATGTCAACACCTGCCCGGACAGCGCCTTGCTTTAGCCCCTCCGCCCCTCTGGCTGAAGTTCCTGGGATTAGAATCCAGGGCAGGGGGGTTGGAGACTTCTCAGTAGAACTTCCTGCTTCCCACTTGAAGTTCTTATAGATTTGGTTAAGCTGTTTTCAGACTCGTGAGATGAACCACAGTAGTCATGAATAATAGGCTGTCTCTGGGAAATGGTCCATGGAGCACTTTTCTAAAAATAACAGCCTCCCTCCCACCCACAGTACCGTGTACACAGTAATTTAAATTAACCTCCCAGAAAACATTAGTGGGCTAAGCTAATTTCCTCTGAGTTATAACACTCCCTATAAATGGAACACGTTTCATTGTTACTACTTCTTTGGACATGCCGAAAAATAGTGAATGGCCAGCTTGTTTAAGCATATAGCCTAATAGCATTAAAAACATTCCACAAAGTTGTAATGAACAGGTAACAAAATCCAAGCTCCTCCTCTGGATCATGAAGGTAAGGTGCACTGGGAGCCGGGATCCGGCCAGCTCCTGATGTTCTACCTTGTCCTTGGCTCTCAGTTGAATACTGTAGTTATAGATAGCTGTCTGCTAATTAGAAGAATGGAAAATAGGAATGTGACAAGAATAATCGGCTTGTACAAAAAGCAGTGGAAATGAGGGCCAGAGAGGGAGGCTTTGGTTTAAGATGCAGGAAGGGCAAATGGAAAGGACAGATCAAAAAGAAGGTGAGAGAGTCCGCAAGCAAAGCTTTCCCATGCCGAGGCTGATGAGAGTGGGGAGACCACAGAAAGGGTGACCAGGCCTGCGCTGAGGAGGTTGCGCACTGCAGAATGGAAAAATCCACTGATGCCGAGTGCATTCTGAGTCACAGCGGCCCTACGGGACAGGGTCACACTGCTCCTGTGGGTTTCTGAGACTGTCAATTGTTTACAGGAGTAGAAAGCCTCATCTTTCACTCTCAGAGTGGCTGGTGGTTTTGAACTGCTGACCTTTTGATTAGCAGCAGCCCAACATATCACCCCTTATGCCACCAGGGCTCCTCTAACTGCCCCATGTTGTTGTTGTTGTTCGTTGCCATCAAGTCAGTCCTAATCTATAGCGACCCTATGCATCCATCACAGGACAACAAACTGACAGCCAACTGCCAACAAACTTCCCCATCGGGTTTCCAAAGCCGTAAATCTCCACAGAAGCAGAATCCAACCACCACCTTTCTCTCGAAGAGCTGCGGGTGAGTTTGAAAAGCTAGCTTTGGGTT